AGAATGGAGAGTTAACAACAGTTTCGTTAGCCAAGTTGGGGATTTCAGTGAGCATTTAGGACCAAAACGTCTCGGATTTCTGTGACGTAAGAATGTAGTTGAAATAGAAAGGGACGTGCTATTAATCCTATGTAAGTAGTATCGGATAGCAAGAGGGATAAAAATGGATAGACCGTGTCGAAAACCACTAAACAGATGTTTGGCGGGGATAACCTTTGATATAATGTCCCTGGCGGGGATAATGCTAAAAAAGGACAGTCCTGCAAATACACTGAAGCAAGAACGGTTAGAGGACAGTGATGTAAACAGCAATAAGCATACACCAAGCTAGAGACGTAACAAGTTATTTCAACAAGTACAGGATTTGTAACAAGTGTGGTGCGTGTTATATGTGGCCAACGCGATCCCAGTCTCAAAGGCACAATCAAACACACACGCGCAGTTCACTGAAAGCATATTTTATTGAAGAAGAATGAAAAATTGAAGAATTATCCACCTACCACTATTGCGTCAAAACATCGTGTTTGCATTATAAATCATATTTTAGTGATTGACAAGGCTCCAATCTCTTCTCCTAATGTCATACTTCTTTCCCCTGACAAATCCGTCCTGAAGATCCTGTTGGCAAGAATCGAGACAGAGGATGTGGACGAAGACTTGCGTTAGGTCCGTCTTCGTGGCGACCGTCTTGGCCGCGGCGTCGACGGCGTCTGCGAACTCCAGTTTTACGCCAAGGTGACAGCACTTGCATTCTTCTCTCTCCAGTGTTGTGTTCATTTCATTTTGTGTTCATGTTGTTGATACGTTATCCGAACGCAGGCGCCCGAGTTACATGCCTGACGGTCAAATCTTACCTTGCGCCAAAAAACGAAGTCCTTTGCTATTGACAGTTCCTCCTTCTCTCAGGTCGAGCCGTCTTTGCCATCCAGCATGTCGACGGCGCTGCTGGAGACGCTGACTTACCCCGGCCTGATTTACCGCCTTGGTTGTCTGCAGAAGTGCAACGAACGCCAGTGCTGCTGCTTGGCCTGTGTTAATGGTGAGTTCGCACCTTTGAATCGGATCCTTTAAACTTCCCTTAATTCTGGCAGCGTGTTTGTTTATGCTTCTCCCCCTTTCGACGTCTTGCAAGTATCCAGCACTTGCACGTCTGTTAGGCCGTTAGATACCATTTATTTTTTGTCGATAAAAAAATCCCTAGGTACACATACGCACAGGGTTTTCTCTTCAATTAAAACTTCTCTTTCTGTGACTTAGAAGCTAAAGCACTCTATGAATCCATATTACAAAAATAATCCTAATAAATATAGTCTAATGTGGGACAGTAGAAGCGTATTCACGAATGATGATACCAATTAAGTCACTTTCAGTACCTCGGAATATGAAGACGCACTCTTGAGATCAATAATGATATATCAAAGTGCAGCGTCAGTTAAATGCACAAAACCTTGATTTGAGGAAATTGTTCACAATCGTCGCAGTCTGACAGGGGTCAAGCCCTGTGCGTGTGTAGGCTTTTAATGCCCTTATTTCCTCTGATGGCCTTTAAAATGCATTGGCGAGCTTTGTAGAATTCATATGAATGATCATCAGAAACCTGCCAATTTACAACCCTCAAAACATGTAAAATGCAAGTAAATCAAACTAAAAGCATAATTACAGTAAACTAAATTCTTCGTCCTTAAGGGCAATCATGCACATTTACATTTCATGATGGGCTAGCTGCATGTGCGTATGCGTGCGTGATTACTTAGGATAACTTTAGGAAATAAAATCCTAAATTACAGACTCGGCGTGCCACTTGTACGACTCTAGAATCGCGCGTGACTGGTCGAGCTCCGACGACGCGGGCGCTCTCTCCTTCGACGCCTGCTTCACCGCCTGGGGCGCAGGTCGTCGCCAGGTCGTCCCCGTGGCCACGTCCGCCTCGTCGGAGAGCCAGGGCTCCGAGGCGCCGAAGGCCCTGAATGGCCTGGCGAACGGCCAGTGCTTTGCGTCCGAGCCCGAGGCTGGCAGCTGGTGGATGGCCGACCTGGGCGAGTCGAAGCCCGTGTCGGAGGTGCGGATCCGGACGGCGCTGGAGAGCGCAGGGGCCGCCGCCCCGCCGCTGACTGCAGCTCGCCTGGGGAACTCCGCGGAGCCCTGGAGCAACGCCCCTTTCGGGGAGCCTCAGCGGGCGGCGGAGGCGGTGTTCAGGCCCGCCAGGCTCATAAGTGGCCGCTTCCTCTCCCTGCACAGTCTGGTCGCGGACGCAGCGCTGACCATCTGCCAGGTCGAGATCACGGAGGATAGGCTCCCCTACGGGTAGGAACGTTTGCGGGAATGTTGCTCTGTGTGTAAATGAATATGATACACTTTTGTGACCCCATAAGGAAATTATCTTTTGTCACTGTCTCAATATCTATTTGCATAACCCTGTCTGTTTATCTCCCACAGGTCCTGCCATGACCTGCTGCTGAGCGGGTACCGGGCGAGTGGTCCCTACACCCTCAACCCTTTC